TTGCTTGATCCTTATGGGAAGAGGATGAGCTGTAGAGGTCAAAGAATCTGCTCATCCTCCTTTCGTCTCCGCTGAGGGCTCCCAAACTGAGCCTGGAGTTGGAGCCATGCGTGGCAGGCAGGTGGACTTAGAAGTACGTGGCTTTGCAAGGGTCAGGTTAGAAGGGGTGCTGGACGTCATAAGGGGCACACAGAGCTCATAAATTTCTCAAAGGAGATTCTCACCTCCCCTCTTGGCTCAGGAATGAGGACCCAGTGATTACAAGAAGAACCCACCTGGAGAGCTCCAGGGTCCCGGTGGGTCTCAGGGCCGACCACTGGCCATCGGCCCTTTGAAGGAGTCGGGGGCTCTTAGTTCCTACACAAACTGTTATCCATTAACATCCAATTATCCCTTGGTCCGAGTCATTAATTATAAATCAACCGCTAATTGGAGTAATTAGCCCCCTGCAGGCTAATGGGCCGAGACTGAGGGAGGCCCCTCTGCCTACAGTCCTCCAGCTTCCCGAGGTCCTTAATGTTGAGGGTGCAGAGAAATCAGGCGGCTGGAGGTAATTTTTTTTTTTTTAAGGTGGCAAAATGCAGCCAGGGAAGGAAAAGAGGATGGGAGAAGCCACTTTTTTTGTTGCTTTTTCTCAAATCTGGTCCAGCTTCAGCACTTGAGAGCAGGCAGGTGGTGGAGGAGGCCGAAGGACCTGACTGCAAGTCTTGAGAGTAGAGTTGTCTGGGTAATTGCTTGATTCTCTGCTTCCTTTCTGGCAGAGATACAGCTAGCGCACTGGAGATCAAGGAGACTTGGACAGAGCTAAGATGCAGCAGGGCATATGTTAGGACCTCAGGATGTTCCTGGCCTCTCCATGGTGCAGAAGTGGTGGCCCTGCCTGCTGGGTTAGCCCTGGCCTGAAGTCCCTCAGGGATGACCTGGTCTGCTCTTGGCCATCTAGATCCAAGCAGGGGCTGGGAAACGGACTTCAGAGTCCCCTGTGGAGAAGAGCTGTTCCAAGCCCAAGTTAGGGCCTCCAAATGGCTGGAGGAACTCGGAGGAGGCTCTGTTCTTCGGGCACAGAAAGCACGGTTCCTGCTCGGCACACTGACAGCTCTGCACACTGACAGATGTACAGCGCATCGGGGATGCAAACACACCCTGAAGATAGAGCCGTGGATGGTGGAGGGGGCTGTGAAATCCAGTCGGCTCCACTGGCCTCGGGCACATTGAAGTAATGTCCACAGTGGCAGTAGACTGGCGGGAAGGAGTGACACCGTTCGGGGAAATGTGCTCCCTCCTGCCGCTCTCCTATCCAGGGAATTCCCTTTTGCCGGTGAAAACCTGGCTAAAGTCCGAACAACAGCTGGGGCCAGAGCCACCAGAGCTCTGGTCTGTGCAAACTGGGATCTGTGGTCTGTGCAAACTGGGAGGTCCACCCATCAGGCAACACTGGGGCCGAGTCAAATAAGCTCGGAAGAACAGACAAGTGACTAAATAGAGAGGCCACTGAATCTGATAAGGGACAGCCCGGCTCTGTGCCCTTCTCACAGAAGGGGAAACTGAGACTCACTCAAGGGCAGACAGAAGAGGTACTCAATACAGGATGAATGTGCAGACCAGAACACATGCCCCGCCTGAAGCTTACCCACCCACCCCAGCTCCCCCGCCACACTCATTCGGTAATGGGCTTTGGCGGGCAGCAGTGGCGTCGCCCGGGGCCTTGATTAGATATTTATTGCTGTCATTTACATGGGCACCGCGGGGCGGCCGAGCGAGTCTGTGGGGAAGGGGTGGAATTGAGGGCGAAATGGGAAGGCAGGGGTGGGGGAGGTGAAGACTGGCTCCTCAAGGACTTAGGACCGGCCAGGAGACTAAGCTTCAAGGCCCGGAGAGAGTGGTGGGAATAGGGAGGGCAGAGGCCAAGCAAAAATGTAGACGCACCCTGCCTGAGGCTGCGTGGGGCTTCTGCGCAAAGCAGGGCCTTGACGCTTGGGACTGTTGCCCTAGGGGGTATCTGCGTTTGTTGGCATGTCTGTCTGTGTGAGGTTAGCCTGTGAGTATGGAACTGTGTCTCTCAGAGGGGTTTTGTGTGGTTTAGTGGATCTGCCTGTGCATCTTCTTGTGTGACTTCTCAAAGAGTCTGAGTGTGATACCCATAGCCCGGGTGACTCTAACCCAGGAGTCCCGTTCTGTGTGCCTGTCAGCCTCTATATGTGTGTCTGTGTACGACCGCCAATTTAGACAGCTGGCAAATATGTGTGCACACACAGCATTCATTCAGACACAGGGGGGACTGCGCCTCTGGATCTGGTTCTCCCCTTCCCTCAAAAACCACCGGCAATGTCCCTATGCTCCAGTCACACCAGATGGGTTGCTCCTCAGAAGGCCCCTGGCCTCCGGGAGGCTGACACTAAGGGCTATGGTGGACTCCTCATTCCAGGCTGTATGCTCCCAGAGCGCCCAGGCCCAGGAGGGGATGGAAACTTTATTTCCTGCTCAAAATCAGCAGTGTGTGCATGGGTGTGTGCCCGCGGTGTGTCAAGTGAAAGTTATGTTTAAGAATGGAGAAGCAGCTCATATTTCCCAAACACATAGGATTGTGCATGTGAAAGTGGCCAGGACAGGGGTGCAGGGATCCTGCAGACACTCACCCGATGCCCGTGAAGCTGACCCATAAGCCCGCTATCCGGCAGAGACCTTCCAGAGGCGCGAGTCCTTGCCTTTCATCATAGCCTTTCGCCTGGGGCGGGTTTCCACTCCTCTGTACCTCTGCCCTTCTGTTCTGCATTCCGTTCAGGGTCTGGGCTGCCAAATTCCCACCTTCTTGCAGGAGTTGGTGCCCCCAAGGTCTGCAGGGGTGGGGTATGGTGTTTACCCCCCTCCTGAGTAGCAATGCCCTGCTTCTTTTCCCAAGAGTGCGTCTACCCCAGCCATAGAGGAGAGAGCTTTGAGCCAATTATCCAGATAATTTGCTCTCACTAGGCAGCAAATTCAATTTTTTTTGAACATCTAGACATATACATAAACACAGCTGGTTTGCAGAAAGGGGAGGTAGGAACTAAATTCATTGGTCCTTAGGCCAGAGTGCCTTTCCGCTTGAGGGGAGGACAAGGGATGAAGGTAAGTGAAACACAAATCCCCGAAAAATTGAAAACGACCCCCACTACGCCCACCTAAAACTAACAGGCCACAAAACTTCCTAGAAAGGGATCAGACAGAGCTGACCCGCCTGCAGCGCAAAGGAGCCCCGGCACTAGAGAGAGGAAAGGACTCTGGTCGTCCTGCATCGCCACAGCCAGCTGGGAACTTGCACAATTTCCTCGGATGTGGAGCACACAACCCCTGCGGTGCCGACAGCCCCTTCCTCCGAGGCCCATCGAGTCAATAAAGCCCTCCTCTTTCCCCAATGTCCTCAAACCGGAGCTGCTCTTAGAAAACCAGCAACGGCCCACCCTGCCGCGGCCTCGGAGAACTTTTGTCAAACGAAAAAGACTTTCTGGGGCCTGGGTTTGAAGTAGCGGAGGTGCCCCAGGCTCCGAGGGTTCTCCGCTTTGGGGAATTGCATGCTTGGAAAGAGGGTGAAAAGGCCTCGGAGCTCATCCGCCTTGTTTCCCCATTCTGGGACTCCTTCCTGCCCCAAATCACAAGCCTAAGGAGCCCACTGCCTCCCAAACTGAGTGTGGCTGGAATCCAGGAAAAGTCGGGACCCCAGATTTGGTGTGAATTTGGGGAAAAGGAGGTTTCTCTCAAGCTTCTTAAGTGCACTACCAGTGCCACCGAAGCCTCTGCGCAGGTTCCGGGAATTTGTGATCGTCAGAAAGTTCAGCCGGTGGTGCCTGGAACCCTGCATAGTCTGTCAGGGCCCCTGGCCTGTTGTCGTCCACGACCGAGTTACGGCCAGGCCATCCGGTGTGGGAAGCCCAGAGAGGAAAGACTCTGGCCATCTCCCCAACGCTTTGACCGCTCCCCTAGAAGCGCCCCGAGAGCCGCTCCGGTGACTGCCCCCAGCCTGCCGTTCCCCACCGGCGCTCACCTGATCCACGCCGGCTGAGGCCTCGGGAGGTAAAACGAATTCCAGGGAACCAGGGCCACTGCGCCCCAAACACCCACCTAGAGGACCCTAGCCCGAGACCACGTCTACGAGAGCAGAGGCTGGCTGAGCGCCGAACCGACCTCAATTGGAAAATTTGTGCAGAATCGCAATCAAGAAAAAAAAGGCGCACTTGGTGGCAGCTGAGTTTGAACAGGATCCGCGCAGGCGAGACCAGAGCCAGATCCCGGGCAATGCCCGGGGCACTGCGGGGTTTGCGTGGACCAGGAAGCTGGGGAGGTGTGGGCGGCCTCTGCGCTTTGCGGGCTGGGAACTGGGCCGCCGGCCGCGCCCCCTCCCCAGCCTCCACCCCAGGCTTCGCGACTCCCCGGGCCACATCTGCTCAGCATTACGCCGGCCACCTCCCTCTCCATGCCGCCCCCTTCCAAACTAAGAAGGATTTGTCTCCGCTTAATATCCAAACCTCTTTTGTATTTTTTTTTTCAGGGGCGAAGTAATATCTTCCAAATGAGGCAAAACCATGACGGATCCGAGGCGTTCTCCGCGGATGCCTGCGTCTCCGCGGGCCAAGGCCTGCATCTCCGCCTCGGCGCGTCTCTGCCCAAGGCTCGCCCTTGGCTCTCTCTGCCTCGGAATTTTGAGTTCTGCGCTCTTTCTGTTTTCCTAGATTGCTCACTTTCTCCCTCCGTTTTCAGCCCCGGGTATCGCTTCCTCTGTCTCACCATGGGTCTCTCTGTCTCCGACTCTCCGTCTTTCTGGAGTCCCTCCGCTTCTTCTGTCCCTGCGCCTTCTGTCTGTCCCCAAGTCCCTGCCTCCCTGCAAACTTTCTGATCTGCCCAGTGGGTCCGGGACTACAGGACACCAAGAGGGAAGGCTGTCCCCGGGGTCTCACGGCCCGCGTCCTCCCCGCAGCTACAGTCCCGCGCCCTTCCCGGCTGGGCCCGCCAGCCCCGCCCGCTCGTACCTGGTCAACCCGGCCCGCGCTGCCGCCGCCGCCGCCGCTGCCATCTACGCGCGCCAGGGCAGGGGCTGGAGTTTTAAACTGCGTTTCCCGGGCGCCCGGCGCGGGCCCAGACGCTTCCTAATGGCCCTGGTGGCTGCCAATCACGCGTCGCTCCCTCCCCGCCCCGCCCCGCTGGTGCCGCAGCTCCAGGCCAAGGTGGCCCGGGCCCGACAGTCGGTGGATCTGAGCGCCGGGCCCGCGTCCGTCACCTCTCCCGAATCTCTGCTCCTCGATCTCTGGCTCCCGGTCCTGGGATCTCTGCCTCTCTTGGGTCCGCGGAAGCCGCAGGCCGATCCCTGGGGTGTTGAAAGGTCTTGAGAAACCTCTCTCTCCCCTGTCCCAACCCGATGCTTAGCACCTGGGGTCTGTAGAGGTGGCCTGGGGACGCCCCGACGGACTTTCGGCCTCACTGCCCCTTCAAGGTTGGTCTGGAGCTGCGCGCATACATAGGCACGCACACACACCCCTCCCCATCAGTTCCACACCACCTGCAACACTGCCACCCCCGCGCCACCACGCAGCGCCACAGCCCGCACTCTGAACTCGCCGCCCACACACCCCGCGGGTGCGCTGGTTGGCGCTCCTAGCAGCCGCTCACCTGTCTGGCAGCTGGATGTCGGCCTCTGGGCCGAGAGGCTGCGGGCTTGAATTCACGGCTTCACACGCAGCACAGGCACCTGTCGCCGGAACTGGGGGGACACACACACTCCGAGACCGGCTCACATTGGGAAAATCCTGGGCCCGAGGTTGTCCTGCTCTTACCAGCGCTCTGCTTCCTCCAGGCGGGAACTCGCTCACAGGAAGAGGACGTTCTGGGGCCGGCTCTCAACCAGGCAGAGGCTCGGCTTCCCAAAAGGTGTGTGTCTAAGCTGTGTGCCAGGAGGCAGGTGTATGCTACGCCCACACTGCCAGTGGATGCAGGGGTGACAAGTTGCTGTATAGAGGCTCTGGGAGGCTCTGTAGATGTGGCTGTGTGGAGATGGCTGGAGAGGTCTTGGCCAAGTGTGTGGAGGCGGTGGGGTGGGTGGGGAAGGGACCCTGTGCAACCAGCCTTTGGCCTCAGTGGCTGCAACTGTGACTCACATGTTGAGTGTGCCCTTGTGACTGGTGCTCCCATGACCACGAATCCAAGTGCAGCTGTGGGGTTTCCTATGGTGTTGAGTCCTTTGTGTGTGTGTAGCAAGTCCTTGTGCAATTTTCAGCTCAAACGTAGTTGCAAATCCAGGTGGCTGCACACAGGGTGGCCACTCAATCTTGGGACCTAAGCAGCAGGACCCTGGTTCTGGCAGTCCCCCTGGTCTATAAGTGAAGCTCTCCGGTCTAGCTCCTGGGAGCTGGGCTGCTTGCTTAGTGGATCAGGCACTGAGAGGAGCTGATGCTGGCTAGCCAATACTGCCAGTAGATTTTAGGGCCCCAGCCTGGGTTGAGGGCATCAGGAATTTTGGCCTGGGTGGGGCAGAAGGGGCCACAGTCAGATTTGAGGTTTGGGGTCAATCTTCAGTCAGAGTTAGGGGCTTGATGACTGAGGGGGGGTGGGGGGAGCAGTGGGCCTCAGAAGAGAGAGGAGGGGAGAGGAGGGGGCGGTAAGAGGATTAGGCCGCTTAGACCCTTCTCTCCCACCAGGATCCCCCACCCCCACCCCAAAGCTCCAGAAAAGATTTCTTCTGCCAAAGCAAAACCGTTTAGGCTCGATTTAAAGGGACAAGAAAGGCGGAGGCGGGGGCTTTAAATAACCTTTTAATTTCTCTTCAGGGATCCTGGCCCTGTTTGAGAGGGAGTTGAGAGGAGGGGAGGGAAGGGCAGGGCAACCAAGGCTGCCTCTTTGGCTTAGATGATTGGGACTGCCAGTAGCGCTCCACAGCAGCCAGGGAGATGGTGGGAAGGACACTGCGCCCCCACCTGGCTGACCTCCACACATAATCAGGCACACAGATGATTCTGGAGAAAACTGCAATCCCCTGCACACACATACCATCATTCAGTCACACACACAGACAGGGGCAAGGGTGCACATGTGGAAGGGTCACATATGGAGAAACAAAAGAGGGGGCACCAAAATCCCTCCCTGCCATCCCTAATGGTGGAGCAAGGAAGGCTTGCTCAGGTAGGCCTTGTCCCCTCTGCCCCTATTCCCAACTGGGTCTCCCCTTCCAGTAGGAGGGGGCATCATCTTTCTTTGCCCAGGGACTCAACTCCAACTTACCTCCTCCCTAGGTCCCCACCTCAGACAGCACAGGAGCTGGAGGGCAGGCTGGAGGAATGATGACCTCAACTCAGCCTGGCCTGAGTGCACCAGACCTGCCGGAGCTGGGGGAAGGCGGCTTGAGAACCGCACAAGCACTGTTGGTTGGCTGAGGACTACTGAGGCAGTGGGGCATGCGGCTCAGCCAGGCACTCGCTCTGGAAGGAAGTCATCTACCACATAGATTCTAAGTCCAGCTGGGAAACCCTTGCTTGCCTCCTATCCCAGGCTACCGAGGCTCCCACCTGTGCCAGCTGTCCCCATCCCAGAGGTCTGAGGTGGTGTGCGGCTGGGTGGGCAGTATGCTCTGAGCCTCGTAATACAGCCAGTCTTCCACAAACTCAGATCCCCGGATACCTGGAGAAGCCCACACTAACAGGCCAGATCCACTTTCACAGGGACACACATCATGGACAGAGAGAGCTGCAGTCCCTCACTCACTTCCTATCCCCACACATTTCACAGACATTGCAGCCAAGGGCTGTGCTCAGGGCTGGTTGTAGATTCCTGGGTGTGGGGACAAAGCTGGGGGAAAAACAAAAATCCCTAGCAAGCTCCCTTGCTGGGATGGAAAGTCCGGAGGAAAACAGGACAGGACAGGGAAAGTGAACACATCCTTTAGGGAGGCCCGCGCAGGGAAGCTTGATGTGCCACAATGTGGGTGGGTTTTAGTGATTTCACAAAACCATTTTGAAAGTGCCACCATCTAGACAGGAATTAAGAAGCAGAAATGGTTCAGGGCCTTCCTCCTGGGGCCGCCCCACCCGCCTGCCCAGGGATGTGGCTGACACCTTCAAAGGGCTTAAGAGAAAGGCGTCCCCTGAGGAACTGGGGACCTGCCCCCAATACACTTCCCTGGGCTGCAGTCAGTGGTGCATTTCTGGATGTGCTTTTATATTGTTAGAATTCATTTTCCTGTGCTATGAGTATATGAATACATATAAGTATATACTCCGATATTTGTGTGTAATATATACGTGTACACATTTACTTGTGAATGTAGACTGTGCTTATGTGGATTATGTGATTTTGTAAACTCCTGGGTATGTGTTTGTGTGTGTGTGTGTGTGTTTTGGAAGAGAGGTTTCTAAATTGGACTAATGGGGAAGTGGGGAAGGGGTGGGTTTATTTAGGAACTTGGGAAAACTAGGTGCTCACAGGTTCCCGACTGGCCTGGAAACTCAAAGAACACAGGGCCTCCGCTGTCTGCCCAGAGCCACTTTAGGGGCCTAGGTCCCCTTGAAGTCCCAGGTCAGGCCCCAGCCCCACCATCGCGAGTCTCTGAGCTCAGTTTAGAGCAGCGACGCCCAACCCAACCACCCTACCCACCCCAACCCTGTCTGTCCCTCTCTCTCTGTTTCTCTCTCCATTCCCGCCTCCACCCCCGTAAAACTCGGAGTGTCCCAAGCAGCTCACAGCGAGGTTTTGGGGCCGGGTGGGTGGGGTCAGCTAATGCCCCATGGGGCCGCCCTCCCAGCACCTCCCCGCGGGCAGGAGACGTCCTCAAAGAGCCGGAACACGGGGCTGCGGGGAGAAGGCTCGAGCCCGAAACTGGAGGCCGGGACCCTCCCCGCCCCTCCGGAGCAGCCACTGCTGTTTGCGTCCAGAGGAGGCTGGATCCAGGTTCGGGTGCGGGACGCGGGTCTCCTGGGCCCGCTCCCGCCCCCACGGTTGGCGCTCCCCGGGGCAGTGGCTGGGTGGTGGGCGGCTTAGAGCTAATTCGGGAGTTAATGGCAGCGGCCCGGCCCCCCGTGGCCCCCTCCACCTCCCACCCCTACCCGGGGGCCCGGCCGCTGGCCGCCCGCATCTGCGCCGTCCGCGGCGATTCATCATCTTGATCCATGGCGCGAGCTGACGGCGGCCCCGGCCGCGCTGACAAGACTAACAAAGCAATTTGCCACGAGCCATCTCCTGGACAGGTTATTAGCGCGGCCGGCGCTTAAAGAGCCGTCCCCGTCCCCACCCCCACCCCCATCCCAGGCAGGGCAGCTACCGTTCTGTCCCCGCCCTCCGACGGCTATTGCCACTCGCCGCTCAGAGATACCCCCGCGTGTTCCTGACTCTCTCCGACCACCCAAAAGTAACCCGCCCCCCACCATACACACACACACACACACACGCACACACGCACACACGCACACACACACACACACACACACACAAACACACACACCCTGTTAGTTGCCTGCACGTCCCTCCCTTCCCTCGCTCGAGCTGCTGCCTGCTCCACTCCCTCCCTCCAACCCTAGTTCTTCAAATATCCCACGTGCTCCCAGCCTTTCCCCCAATACCCCCAGCCTTTCCCCAATGCTACCTGACTCATCCCCTCCTCACCTCGAGAACTTCCTTACACCCAGCGGGCCTCCCCATTTCTGCCCTCTCTACCCTTCTCCCACCCACCACTCCCAGCAGAGATTGGAAACCCCTACTTATTTGCAGCTGTGGAGTTCGTGCCTCTCCTGCAGTGCCTTTGAGCATGCTAAGTTTATTCTGACCACTCTTGCCCTCAAGTAACTGTACTGTGAGGGGCAGGTAAGGTGGCCTTCAACCCCACTTAACCAGTGCCAGCTAGGGGGCTATGGCTCAGGTGCTCCTGAGCATAGTTCCAGCCCCCCAACCCTGTAGGCAGGCTGCCTGCAGGAAGGCACCGGCCTGGGCTTCCTCTCTGGCTGCACCTGCTCTGGGAAGAAAAGGAGACCAAGTGACCAAGGCATTCCCGCTAAGCAATGCCCCTCCCACCTGGAGAGGCAGATGTGTAAGAG